ATATATATATATCATATATATATATTATATATATATTATATATATATATTATACACACGTGTGTGTGTATTGGATAAAAAAAAGTAAAATCATAATTGTAAAACAACATATCTCATCCTGCCATCCCTACTTAAGCAAAAACTCTGGCGAGTCTAAACATTTTTTACTTTAAAAGCAAATGTGAAGAAAAACAACACCCATCCATACACCTCTATGACTCTTTCTTTCAACTTCCTACCTCTTCCTCCTTTTACCCTATTCTCTAATGGAATCCTCCTCCTCCTACATCTCTTTCTCCTGATTCTTTTCCCAATTTTTTTTATGAAGTCTACCTAATTTTACTCATTGTGAATGGGATAATCTTACCTTCAGTATCCACGCACGATGGCCCTCTAAGTCAAATTGCCCCAAGAGGATTACGGTCCTGGATCCATCGCGGTCTTCATGGTACTGCTCTACTTTCCGGCCGTAGCAGAACTCATACTTCCACCACCCGGAACCCTTGGGGGGTGAGGGAGAGTGTGTTAAGCAGAAAATAGGTAAATAAGATAAAAGAAATTATGGGTCTCCAAAAGCTTATCTATATTCTTTTAAACCTTTTTATCAAACTGAGCGGAGTATATACCCGAATCTAAAAATGAACATACTCAAAATAGCATTACAACTTGAAACCTAACCTTCCCTCTCCGTCTGAACTGAAGCATCAGCAAGAAACTAGATAAAGTAAAACAAAAATTAAGAATAGGTCACACAACACAAGCCTGCTCCTGTCAAAACCACACAACTCTATGTCTCCTGTTCCACTTACCCCATGCAGGCAGTATTCGCCGTTGAGGAAGTCCTGCACGAGCTTCTGGTCAATGGCTGGCTGAGGGGGGAAGAGGGAGAGCTTGGCAGGGGGTTCAGGGGTAACGGAGGCTATACTGGGGTGGTCGGGATCGTCCACTACCTCGAGTTTTATGGAGCCACTGGATGAAACTCCGCTTAGCTACAAATAAAAAAGGAGAGATATGAAAAAGGTAAATTTGTAGTCAATGATAAAAATCAACAACAAAGAATGACAAAGTTAATAAGTTGCTGATGATGATGACAAGAAAATTCAGAATGATAATCACAATAACAATAATAATGATAAAGCATATATCACTAATCTTTATAGTATGAAAAATATATGAATAATATCAAGAATGGTAACAACAAAAATTTTGTTGATAATAATAATAAAGGGGAAAAACTAGTTATATGAATTGCTCTACCCCCCAAAAAAGAATTCTTACAACAATAACAACACCATAAAGAAAAATCTATAAACTATCCTCAGTACTACAATGCCCAAGCCCTATCCCTTCCCTTCATAAGGTGGCAACTAACCATAGCCCCATTGGAGCGCATCTTGAGGCTCTCAGTTTCTATCCTGCGGAGGTTCCTCGGCCTCTTGGGAGCACCTGACATTGGAATGCAGTGGAGGTCTGTCTGGGGAAGTTCCCGAGGCCTGTGGACAAAAGCGTCAGGTGGGGGCTTTCAGTCGGCTTCCCTGCTTTTCCTTGTTAGAAAAGTTTGAGGTGGTTATAGACAAGAGAATATAGAATGTGCGAAATCTGCCTAGGGAAATTAATAAGGATGGGTAAGATCATGGGAATATGATGGAATGATCACCCACATAAACACAGACACTTCCTCTTCCAAACCAATCTTTTTCCCCAACCCTTTGATATTGAGATTGAGATGAGTGATATGGGTTGAAATTAATGAGATTTGTTACATAAAAATGATGGTGTGAATCATAACTGAGTAAATGAACATGGGGAAATTAATCAGAAAGAAGGGATTTGTGTAAAACTAGGACAGTATAAATGAGGGAATGAAAAGGACAGTAAGTAAAAATTACACAATAAAAATTACAATATTAATAATATCAAGAATATAAAAATATATTGTAATATATCTAAGCATGAGCAAAGATGACAGGATATAAACTGGTATTCCTTCCATAAAGAAAAACTTAGAATGGAAGTGGACAAAATTAATAAAAAAATGGGGGAAATAGAAATAAGCATGATGCATACTTGCTTTTCCCTGTTAATAGTTTTGGACAGAAACCTTCCATGTTAGTAAAGGTAGGCAGGAATGAGAGTTGGTTGATTGCATTTCTTTCTTAACCCACTGATGAAAGGTGTCCCACGTATGAGACACCCGAAAAAATAAACATTGACAGGCGTCCCGCCAGTGTGACACTGTATCGGGGCTCGCGCTCCGATGCAGCAGCGGGCCACAGATGGCGGGCGGACAGAGTCCAGGGCAGCTCCGTCCGCTGATTTTGTAGCCACCCAGAATCTTTTATTTTCGGCTTCAAAATATACTGGCGTTAATCATCAGTGTGGAGAGATGCAATGATAGAAACAGATGTTTCTCTCATAGACAAAAGGAAGAAATAAAATGGATGAACAGAATGTGAAAAGAAGAAACAAAATGAAGAAAGTAGACAGCACCAAAGGATACCCTCTAATATCTCTTTTCCAGGATTAACCAATGTACAATTATGCTTTTAAGCATATATGCACCTATGCATATACACAAACACATGTACACACATTCCCCATTATTTTCCTTGATACCCACCTATAAAAAGGATGCTGGCAGATGTTGGGCGAGAGCACAACAATCTCATATTCACATGTAAACGTCTCTTTGATGCTGTGAATGTCATGACGGCCTTTCTCATAGCACACGAAAAGGATGTGACTAACGCGCGGCTTTCCCGTAAGGTCACAAATGGTACCATCAGTGTAGTTGATCATGAAGTAGGGCATGTCCATTCCTTCAATCTTGGTGGTGGGGATGACTGGGTTTGGGTTAGCCTTCAGATCCTCATCCAGCTTGGCCTCTGCAGTTTGGGAATCGGGTAGTGAGAGGTGGGGATTGGAGTAGGGTTGCTAGCTATGCAGAAAGATTGCAATTGTCACAACAGGGGGAAAGCATTTAATATTGTAGTGATTGATTAACCCAATCATGACAAGTAAAATTTCTAGTAAAACTTTGTGGCTTGAATGCTGTGGTGTGTGTCATTCCTGGGATAGTCTTTCTCACAGCTGGGCTCCTGAGTTGTCATCCCAGCCAACAGGAAATGGGCTCATGATGTGATTAGATGTCACCTGGTATCAGTGAATTTTACATCAAAATGTGATTGAACATCATCTGGTGTGAATGAGCTAAAATGACAGATTCAGGTTGAACAAGGGAATTTAAAACTACCATTGTAACTTATACAAATGCAAAACTCCCTAACATACCTGCAATACGTAGCTCTTCCATGGACAAGATCCCTAGGATGTATTCCTGCCTTCGGGGTGACTTGCCCTCTCGCTCCTCACGGTACTGCTTCAGGTGAATGCCATGGCACAACTCATAGGTCCAGTACGACTCCAGCTGCAGAGGGGGAGTGTGTTGAGGTTGGGCTTACAGGGAATGCAGTAAATAAAGATGTAGCTAGATGGACTTAAACTGAAGGACCTAAATATATACGCATGCATATGCATATTTGTATATATGTATGTGTGTGTAGGGGGTTGTATGTATGTGTGGGGGGTGTATGTGTGTGGGTGTGTTACCTCATGAGGGCCTTCAGAATATAGCCATCAAGAATGTCAAGTGCCATATGTTTATATGTATAACTCACTCACTCACTCTCTCTCTCTTAGACACACACACACACACACACACACACACACACACACACACACACACACACACACACACACACACACACACACACACACACACACACACACACACACATGTACATATATTTGTGTGTAGAGAAACAGTTCAGTATATCAGTGCAGTCAGAGTAATAGAAAAGAATCT